CAACATTCTAACTGTTCATCAAGAAGCTTGTTTTAAGACAATAACAGGAACGAGCAGACCTTTCTGTGGCAGCGTCTGTCCAGCACGGGGCACAGTCCTGTTATTCACGGCCAGGGTCCACCTTGAAAGGCTGGCACTTGTCTTTGCAGGCACAAGTGGACAAATCCTTAGAAAATCATTTATGGAGACTTGACAGATCGACGAGTGCAGCAGGAAGAGTGTGCCCCTTGGACCTCATGGGGGGGTGCTCGCACCAGAGCGCTACCCACATCAGCCCAGGGCTTCCTCTTCTCAGACTGAGACAAGCTGCATAAATGATTTGGCCAGAACCTGGCTTCTGGCATCCTAGTGACCCTAAGAAAATGTCAGCTACTGCCACCGTCCCAGCCTCTTACCATCAGCCCCGGAATCTGAGTCCTGCCAGCTCTGGGTCTGGAAGCTGCCTGGGGCTCTGAGCTGCTGCAGCCCCTGAGGGTGTTCTGGGAGGGCTGCTGCTTTGCAGGGAGGGTTTCCCAGGCCATTTTTATCTGATGGGAAGGGCTGACTTCAGAGGCAGCAGCTGGGGACAGCACAAATAAATACAGAAAATACTCTCTGGGACTGGCATTGTGCTGAGGACAATGGCAAGGACCAGAGAGCACTTCCATCCAGTCGAGACTGGAAAGGAAACACGTGTGGTCACAGTACAGCCTCCTCCAGGGTGCAGCCTGTCCAGGCCCTGCAGGAGAGGAGGGACACATTGTTTTCCCAAATCCTCATCTCGGGTTGGGCAGAAGGGAGTTTGGAGGTGTGAGAGCAGGTCCTTGGGGCGGTGGGTGGTCCAGACTCCCTGAAGCTTTGGCCACTGTTTCCTCCATCACCCAGGGCTTCTCAGAAGCTGCCAACCCCAGGTCTCCACCCTTCCTCATGTGTCCCAGCCCACAGTGGACCCCGTGCAGCAGGCCCGGCTGGTGGACACACCCAGGCAAAGCTGTCTGGCTGGCTCCATGGGCAACAGGAATCTCCTTCCAGCAGTGCGGGTGCTAAAGGGGTGCCAAGTTTCAGAGGTGGCTGTTTTGAGCTGAGGAGCAGCCCCAAACGCTCTGGGCCGGGAGCCCCACCTGTGCAGCCCTTGCTGACTTAGAAGTGAGACCTACAGGCAGAAGCAGCTTTCCAAAACCACACCACCTCTCATGGAACACAGCCCAGCTCTTTCCCAGGAGGTGTTTCGAAGCCTCCTTAGAGTGGGGTGCCTTCCACACCCTGGGGGCTGGCATCTTTGGTTCTGAACAGTCTGTGACCCCGGTTGGCCACAGCTCAGGACCCGTGCCCAGAGGCAGAGTTTGGGGCTGGGAAGATGGGTTGGACCCCAGCCCTCAGCCAGTGAACAAATCTTGTATAAGACACTTAGATTCTCTGAGTCTGTTTCCTTAATTCTAAAATAGCAGTCATGGAAGGAAGTGTAGGAGAGAAACCGCATAATACATTTAGCTCAGGGCCAGGCAAGTGGGAAGTCCTTCTACAGCAGCCACTTTCTTCATATAAAGGCCGATTCTTGGGAGGCAGAACTTGAGCATTCACATGAAGACCACCAGCGGCTATTCAGAAATGGCGAGCTCACCCTATGGTGGCCTCCAAAGCCCTGGCTTCACCTGCACCAAGTCTGCTGTGGTTGTGAAGAAGATTGAGACCTGTGATAGAAGCTGGTGTCTGAGACCTCTGATGTCCTGCCCAAGGGAGTGGGTCACGGCAGCCGGTCCAGCCTGAAGCGCTCATGAGGCTGCCCCAGAGCCCGTGGGGAGACAGCTATACATGGGAGCACTGGGAGCAAGGACCCACCTGAGGCTCAGCTTAGCCCTCAGCCCACCCTTGGAGGGACATTTCTGCCTGGGGTACCCCGTCTTGCCCACGCCCTTCACCAAAACCCAACTGAATTGTTTTTTTTTCCAAAATAAAGCCTATGGGGCTGGGGAGATGGCTCAGTGGAATAAGTGCTTCCCTGGCAAGCACAAGGGCCTGAGTTCAATCCCTGGATCCACAAAAAAAAAAAAAAAAAATCAAAATAAAGCCTAGTTTTGCCAAAATAAATAAAGGCTGATTCTTGAGGGCTCATTTTGCACCACGCTGGGTCTTGTTCTCCAGGGAGTCTCATGATAACCCTTTGAAGTAGGCAATGTTATCCCTCTTTTAAAAAAATGAAAACCAAAATGAGGCTTAGAGAAGCCAACCATCACTAGCCGGTCCCTGGAGGAGCCGAGACTCGAAGAGAGGCACTTGGACGCTGTCCCCAGCTCTCAGCTGCTGTGTAGTAATTTTGGTTGTCACTGTGAATTAGCACATCAACCATGATTGCACTTTCAGATGCTGCCAGAGAAGGACGGAGCTGCTATTGGACATGAGAGGGTGAGAGCTGGTTTCAACGCTTGCACATTCCTAACAAGGCCGCCATGGGAGGGAAAATGCACAAAACAGAAACTAAAATGCTTGCAGAATTTTTTCTTGCAACGGTAGGAATTGAACCCAGGGTGTCACATACACTAGGCGAGAACTCCGCTGCTGAGCCACATGCCTGGCCACTCAAATGGCTACTTAAAATAGTACTACTAGACCTACCCAGGCACCGGAAGCCCTCACCACCCAAGGCCACCAGCTATTGTACTGCTTCCCTGCTCCTGAGCACTTTGCTTACTTCATTTGCTTTTTCTACCCTACCACAGCCCCAGCGGGTATGGATTCTGAATTTACCTATAGTGATATGGGGGCTCAGACGGCTCATAGGGTTCTTCAAGCAGCTAATTGCTTTTCAGAAATCTCACAGCCTTGAGTAACTTCTATATGCTGGGTACTGTACTAAGTGTCCAACATGTGCTATCATAATTTAGTAAGTCTTCAGATGGGTATAGATATTTTGTCAATTTTGCAGATGAGCAAACTGAGGCTTGGAGAGGGTAAATCACTGGTCCCGAGACAAAGCTGATGAGAGACCTCCACGCCATTGTTCCTCATGCTGCTTGCTGGAGCTCCTGGCAGAAGATGAAGGAAACTGGCCCTGGGAGGTTTAGAATGGGACACAATCCTTGTCCTCACAAGGGCACAGGCAGAGAGACCTTGAGGAGAACAAGAGGGTATGTGGAGGGGGCGGACCCAGAGTTCCACTTCTGTCACTCAAGGGCTGAGCAGTTGGCATGTTTGATGAGCCTGTGAGCTTTGCTTCTCTTCCCTGTATGGCTGAGCCACCATGGCTGGCCTGGCAGGGCTGCGTTGAGGGATATGGTGGTGCAAAGCCAGGTTGCCTGGCACTCAATGTAGAGAAGCTCTCGCTAGAGTTCAACTATAAAGTGGAAACACATGGAGAGCTGACAGTACCAGCAGCACTCACTGAGCACCGAATGTGAGGTTCAAGCATAAGCATGTGAAGAATTTGCTGGGGCAGATAGGCTGGGCCATCCAGACAGGTTCAGAGAAAGGGTGTGAGCGTGGGCTTGTCTTTGATTTAGGGCAAAGGCAGCCGTGGGAAATTCCCATGGGTAACTCCAAAGAGTTGATGGGAAACTGCTTTCAGAATCAACAAGCGCTATGACCTCCTTTCCCTGAGGCCAGACCCATCCTGCCATCCATCTCCGGAAAGAGCCAGGCACTGCTTAGAGAGTCGGTGGCAAAGCTGTGCAGCAGGGAAGGACCTGGCGTGTCTGGGGACCCTGTACCGGCAGAGGTGAGCCTAGGGCGGGGCATGGAGGGAGGAGAGGCAGAGCCTCATGCCACAGGGAGCTGGAGAGAAGGGGTCAGGACACCCGGGCTGTGGGAGGTGGGGACCAGTGCTGATGCCAGTGGGAGCAGAGGTAAGGGAGAGGCGTGGAGCCAAGGCCTCTGAACTGTTTCCTACAGTAGTACGGCAAAGGTGCCACCCTCCTCAGAATAACCTGTTGGGCTTCCAGGCAAGGGTCCAGGGAATGCCAGTGCACCATGGAGGGGGAGGAGGGCATCGTGGGTGGGGGAGGAGGAGGAGGAGGCAGTAGCGGCGGAGGAGGGGAAGGGGGAGGAAGAGAGGGAGAGAGGGGAGGAGGAGTCAGAGGGGGAGTCATCCAGGTCCTTGCCTTTTCTGGCAGGCCCCAAAATTCTGGCAGCAAAGGCAAGTAACAAAACTAGATTTTCTCCATGTAAAATTCAAGACAGGAGGTCCAGTATCCCCAGATGCTTTTCTCTGGTACGCTGGCTCCTTACTATGATGGTCCACACTTAAGGGCCTTCAGAAGCTCTTGTCCTCAAGCCTCTTTCAATGCCGTTTTGCCCAAATGCTGAGACTGTCGCCATCGTGTGACAGTCAAAGATTTCACACCAGCAGAGTGTAAGAGCTCTACTGAGAATTTATTTCCACTCACCAACTTGGTCAGCGTGGTCTGGATTGCTGGAGAGTGTTGGAAAATTCGCTACTGCTGTTCATTGCAAACCCCCCACCCCGCCCGCCCCATCCCACCATGTAGGTGATAAATAGGATTCCCAAGGCTTTGGTTTCACTCTGATCTTGCTTTGGTTCTTAGATGCTAGGTGGGTAGTTTGGAAAATGAGAAGAGACCTTCAAAAGGAATGGGGACAGAAATAAAGCAGTCACAGAGGCACTTACAAATGGAGCACACAGCTTTATTCACCAAGCTGTGAGTGGACAGCGACGCGGAGTGAATGGCGAAGGGGCGAGGTTAGTGCCGCTGGCGACCAAGCATGGAGCAGGTCGGGAACTTGCAGCTCAGTGATGCGGAGACCGGAGACGGGCAGGCCACCCCCTGCACTGCACACGGCACATGGTCTTTTGGGGCGGGCACACACCCGGTACTCAGGTTCACAGGGAACAAGGCATAGCTTCTCACAGGTTCTACACATTTGCTTTCCTATGTCTGAAAGGGGAGGGAGGCCGGGAAGGCTGCGTGCCTTTCAGCAGTTGGAATAAAGCCCCATAAACCCAACTCAGAACGAAAGAACTCCCATAAACTCAACTCAGAACCAAAGAACTCCCGAGAACCTCAACGCAGGGTCACTGGCAACTCACGGAAACCACTTACATTTATTACTAGACAAGTCTACACACAAAGCAGAAAAGGAACATGAGTTTTGGGGGCAAGGGTTTCCCCTTCCAAAAGGTGAAGAAACAGATGGGGACGCAGTCAGGCAGCAGCCCCTCCCCTAGCTGCACATCGGGTCTGTTGTGTCTGCTTCCATCTTCCTTCTAAGGGCGCAGGAAGACGCTCCCGGGAACTTCACTCTTGGGAAAGACACTGTAGGATGTGTTTTTAGGTAATGGTGACTACCACTCAATTATACTAGGCTTCAGAAAATGTTGGATTTGCTTTAATTTTATTGTGTACACATTCACTGCTTAGAAGGTTTCAACTTAAAGGAACCACCTCCTGCTTTCTGAGTCTGCCATAAATTAAACTTGGCCAAATGACAATGTAACAATCCATATGTAAAGCATGTCTGTCACCGGCTTCCTCTGCCTCCTGACAACCAATGGAAAGATACAGTGCTTTGCTTAAAATGCTTTCTCTGCCTCCATGACAGTGTGGTCGGGCTGCTTCCTGAAGGCAGGTACATCGTCAGGGTGAGATGACTGCACTGCACGTCTTGGGCCCCAGATAATCTTTGTTTTTGCATTGAAATATTCTTCATTAAGAAGCATTAAGAGGAAGCTGTAGGGCACATGGGTACTTAGTTTGTCAAAAGGAAATAATTTTAAAAATCAAATAAAATCAAGGCTGGCACAGGAAGTAAAGACTGAATATAGAGAGAATGCGGTTTAACATCTGAACTTGCTTCAGGACACAAAAGGGTGGATGAGTCAGAGTTCATTCCCCTCCCCCATTCATTATGGCCAGAAACCGGGTGGGCAGCGAGATGCCCACGCTGGAGCCAGCCCCCCCATCACACCCCAGAACACCAAGGCTGTTTGCTCTAAGTAATTTTTAGAAAGGCTCACCTAGTCAAAAATGGTTAATTTGAATACTTGGAAACTTGCAAAAGCATAGGTATTTTCTATCATCTGAGAAGCAATTATTAGAAAAACGACGTTTGCTTCAAGGTACATAGAAATCAGATGAGAGATCTAGAAACATTTCCAGCTGCACTCCTGCAGGTCAGGGGTGAGGGACACCAGACTACAATGGGGAAACTGAGGTCTGGGACAGAAAATTCCTAAAGCTGAGGCCTCAGCAGAGAAGGCAGCAGGGTTGGGGTTGGGGGAGAACAGAAGACATCACAGATAGAAAACCATCCCAAAGTCTGGGATTTTTTTGTACCCTATTACCCATCAATTTTAGGTTTCCTCTGTGAAGTTGCAGAGAACAGGCAGTTTATGTTTAATTATCAAAGAAGTCATATTAAAAACACTTTGTAACAAACTCCAAACCAAAATTGAGATGCATAGCTAGCTGTACAGGTTTCCAGGTGCTCTTCATGTCTCCAAAGAAGTCACACAGGAAGAACACCTGAGAGCCTGGACTTCCTCTAAGACATCTGAAAGGAAGCACTAACCCTCATATTGTCACTGAGGCCCCTCCGACCTCATGCAATTAGTATGCACTTCAAGGTATAAGTAAGCCAAATGCTTGAAAATGTAGCCCTTAATATATGCACCTAGCCTGCCGTGTATGTCATTCTTTTCCTAGAGCGAGCAAGCGACTGTGAGTTACAGTTCATACTTTCCTGTGTAAAACAGGGTAGGTGGGGTTCCTCTTCTGTGCTGTGGCCTAGACATTTCCAGGTCAAGCGTGCTGAGCCCAGTTTAGCAAAGTGGAGAGGGCCTGGAACCCATGCTCTGGGCCGGGATCCTGGGCCATCCTGTCAGCTGGAGCCTCTTCCCTGGCAGTGGAGACCGGAGGCCCACTCCATGTGGCTGTCACCAGCAGCCTCTCCCCAGGGCAGAATGCTGCTCTGCTTGTAGTCAGGGGACCACTGCTGTTTTCCAGCAATTGCATCTCTGTGTGGTACAGTTTAAATGAACTAGTATGCTTGATATGGAAAGAAGCTTTATCAAAACATTTCAAGCTAGGTACAGAACTGAGTTCAAAAGATATAAGAAAAGCAGGGTGTCTTTAATGGGAGCAGAATTTAGAGTCCAGTTCTTTATTTATCATTGCACCCTTAGGCAGGCCCTTCTTTGCGAGCCTCTGTTACATAAAGAGGAGAGCTGTCCCTTCTCTGTCTAATTTTCCTATTCCAGGACAAAGCCATCTCCTTTTAATGTAAAGCAGTAAGAACTTGAGCCTCGCCATCTGATTGCCCCAAATACCCATGTTTCTCTCCCCCTGGCCACATGATCTGCATTTTATGGGTGATGATTCATTAACCAAAGAAAAGCATGGCAGGTTCTTTAGCGCCATAATGAAAAACATTGTCTCCGTCATCCAAGCGCAGGAACCCACGTAGCCATAGCCACCATCAGTGATGATGGTGGGGAGACACTGAATGCACCACAGTCCCCACCTCTACACTCTGCCAGGGCAAGGCAAGAACTAGTACACACAGGCTTTGGGCAGAGGACAGTGGAAACACGGAAAAGTGGCAGGCAATTAAGGCCTGCAGGGGAAGACGGCAGGCGGCGTTGGCCCAAGCAGAAGCCAGTCTCATCTCCTTAGACTCATTCTGTCAGAGCCGCCCCTCGCCTATGCCAGCAAGTCCAACACACAGGCACACAACTTGGGGAGAGTAGTTCTCAGACTTGGATTCCCTCAATAAGCGCACAGAAGAAAACTTAGAGCAACTACAGCGTTCACCACAGCACTCAAACCCAACAGGCAGAAGGGTCACATGTTGCAGGTCTGCAGCACGGACTCAGAAACTCTACAGCTTGCTCTTTACCACCCAGGCCAGGTGGGCAGCTGGTGATCCTAGTCTTTGATGAAGGGAGAAAGAAGGGTGCTGAAGAATCACTGAGCTTTTTGTCTCAAGAGACCTTGCAGACGAATTCCAAAGCTTTCTCCTTTGGTTTTAACACAGAGCTTAAACGCTTAAGCAGAGCTTCAGAGCACAAGAACAAAAGTGACTGAGCCTTAGAGTCTCCTTTATCCAACTCACACCAGGCCTCACAATGTGGTCTTATTTGCACGCGTTAGTGAGGACGAGGCTGAGGCTCTGAGCTGAGCTGAGCACGGCAGAGGACGAGGACTCTGGTGAGGCGCTCTGAGCTGCAGCACAGCCTGACTGCACCTGGAGCTGCACTGGCACACGGACACGCTGCCCGGCAGCATCAACACCTCCCCACAAAGGAGGTGAGGTTGGGGCACAGCCTAGCCTCCTTCTTGGTCACATGCGTCACATGCACTTGTGCCGGTGTCCTTCAGAAGCAGTATCACAGTGTGACATCCAAGGAGAAGTTATAAAGCACATGCAGACTCACAAAACTGCCCTGGGTGAGCAATCCGCACAGGGACACACAAACACACACCTCTACTCCATGAAGTTAAGAGTGTGGGGCAAAATAAATCTGTGGGGTGCAACCTACTTTGGAGGAGATTTAGGAGAAAAATGTGCCTTTTCTTAGCCAGCTGCTGAAGAAAACCAGCACGGGCTTGATCTGATTCACAGGGTGCTGGATAGAGCCAGGGCACAGAGTAAAAGAGCCTAGGCTGGTGGCAGGACAGTAATGTCCTTTTCTAAGACTGGCGGAATCCACAGGCAAACATCACCAGCAGCATGCAGCCACGCCAAGCTGGACACGGTCCGTGTCTTTCCTCTGTCGGCACAGGTGGAGCCCAAGCTGGCTCCTGTCCTTGGTGGGGAGGAAGGGTTTAGGACACTACCTGAAGCAGGACAGAGCTCAGAGATGATTCCCTTCACCCCTTTTCTTTTCTCTGATAAGCACTCTACTAACGGCCAGGCAATTAGCCAGCTTGTTCCTAGCAAACAGGAGAGAACAAGGAGCTTGTCAAAAATGATTTTTCCCAGTAGTCATCCACCCGGTCAGAGCTGCCCGGTGCCATTCCTGATTTCCAGGCCTGCCTGTGCACAGGCTCTGCTGTCTGAGGCTGGTAAGAAGACGTGTGTGCAAAACTCGCTGTCACACAGATGCACTTCTCAGCTGCCTCCTCTTTAGTTAGCACAGTGCTATGTAATAAATACAGTTATACTTTGGAATTAGCATACTGTTTCTTCCCGAGCAGCATCCTAAGGGCACTTGCCGGCTCTTATCAGTACAGTCAGCACTATGCTGGACAACAGTTAGAGGAAAACAAAAGGAGAAAGGAGGAAGCTCCTGTTGTGGACACGAGGTCATGTAAAAAGCTCACATGTGGACACTACTGCTCAATTTGAGAACATAGAAATTTCTACCCCATTGCTGCTTGGCAAGTGTTGCTGTTGGTTGGCCCAGTGTTTGGCTCATGGGTGTTGGGACCAGACTTTCCCCTTTTGTTGTCACATAGGGATGGTGGCTGTAAACTCTCCAATCAAGTCTGGGCCTTACTACACATCCTAGGCACTGCTGTCGCGACAGCCTTGTGTTCCTAACTGCCACTTATGTGCAGGATTTAGAAGAGCTTTGCTCTTTTCTTCATGTCGTTGCGTCTCCAAAGAGGTAATTTGTCAAACTCCTGTATGGACATCCCGAAGATCTCCCGGAACACTTCTGGGGCTAAGTGGCGCTGGGGAGACAGAACAGAGAAGCGGTCAGTCCTGCTGGCTACCAGGAGGGCCGGGAGAGCTGCTCTCTCTGTACTGATGGGTTCCCCATCCTCAGATGCAACCAACAGAAGATCACAAATATTCTCCTTGCCAGAAAAGTTGTACCAGTACCGCACATGTTTAAATGTTTTGTTAATTTTCCCCTAAATAATGTACCTATTTACACTGAATTTACATTGTAATTGTTATTATAATTAATATGAGATGATTTAATGTATGTGCAAGGGCATGTGAGGCTTAATATGCAACTACACCCTTATTTTACACAAGGGATTTGAGCATCCATACACTTTAGGACCTGAATAATTACCATTGAATCAGTCTCCTGTAGATATGAGGAATGCTGTCAGCATTTTAAAGAACAAAGCATCAGGATAGGAGAGGAGGTCTGATGCTCGCTGCTCAGCATAGATAGGGGACGCCTCGTCTTCCCCAGACCAAAGAGCTGACATGGTTACAATTCAGTGTGACACCAATGATCAGTGATGGGAAACAGGAAGGTGATCTAGCCTGGTCCCCGCAACTCCACCTCAGGGCCTGTTCTTGGCTCCACAAAATGGGAAAAGGTGGATGTTACCCCTACAGTTCCTCAGAAAAGTCTATTAGGACTCTTGGGCCATTATTCGCGGAGCCAACCTGACCTCTGATACAAAGGCAGTGCCTTCTGTCAGGGAACAGTAATGGCTCTTCCTGAGACTGGCAGTGAGAATTCTTCTTAACTATAACCATTTGGGTGGAAAAGTACAAAGAGCAGCCTTCCATGTCTAAGGAGCCTTGGGTGTGTGTACCCAGATAACCTTCAGGGAGGAATGCGGAAACAACCAAGAGACTTGCTCCTCATAAGCTCCTTCTGGAGAGCTCCCTTGCCTGCTCTCCTGGACTCAGCCAGGAATATCCGCAGACCCCCTCTGCACCTCCCACTCTAATGATGGCAGCATCTTGTTTCCAAAGACCATGACTAAAATCACACCATGTCTCCCTATTTTCTAAATATTGCGAGGCATTCTAAATGCTGATCTAAGTATAAATTTAAGTGTAAATTTGAATCTAAGTGCACATGCTACACTACTGACCTCCCAGAAGCCAGGAAATGCCTGCCTCATGTAGAGGTCAAACACCATTCTGCCGCCCTTTCCTCACTATGTGCCCTTTTGAGAGCCGGGGCTGGGGCTGGCATGTCCAAGTATTAGCAGAATAACAACACTGAATACTTACAAACTCACTTCTCATGATGTTTTTGGTTGTACTAGGGATAAAATCCAGGGCCTTCATACTTGGCTAGATTCCCCAGCCCTCTTTCACTTTTTATTTTGAGACAAAGTCTTGCAAAGTTCCTAAATTGTCCAGGCTGGGTTTGATTGCCAGAGTACTGGGATTACAGGTGTGTGCCACCAAGTCTGGTGTCACATGGTTTTATCTCATTAGAGAGCCTTTGAGATTTGAGAATCTTTGTTTTACTAGAATTTGAGAATGATGGATCTGCAGTTGGGTGTGGATTTTTGTTTTACCTCCAGCCGGGTTCTGTCCACATCTCTTAGGATTTTGTTGCGCCCTCTGTTGGTCACCATGAGCATTTCATATGGAAATATCTGAGAAGCAAAGAAAATATCTCGAGGGTTGCCATCCACTTTATTAAGCAGAGCCTACCTAAACCCTGCTATTTCCAAGACAGTGCTTATAAGCACTTATCACAGGAGCATCTGAGTAGAAGGTGATACCCTTGAAGACCAACAAAAGTTCCAGCGTCCGGGAGACAGGGCCAGATTCTTTCCCCCATCCCCAACTTTCCCCCAGTGTCTCATGCAGCACTGCGCCCTGGGAGGGTTTTGCTCAGTGCAGGACACTACCTTCCTCTCAGTGGCAGAGATCAGAAGACGAAGTTATGGGCACATATACGGTCTCTTACATGGCGCCACTGAATGATTAAGATACCTCTGTGGTTCAATAGTCTTGATTCATGCATGGCTTAGGACTCCAAGTAGCTAGGCAGGCCCAGAAGCAGTGTTCTGGCAGCTGACATATTGAAATAAGCCCTGGTTATGGTCACCAAAGAGCACCTCTGGAGGTACACAATGGCTTATAGCTAGGGGCACTGGCCATCCCAGTTTGCCCAGGACTAAGGAGTTCTTGGGGCGCATGAATTTTGGTGCTAAAGCTGAAAAAAGTCCTGGCCAAGGTGACACATTGGTCATCCTACCTCAGCAGTCTGCAGCTGACCCACTCAGCACTGGACATGCCCACAGGCCCCATGGGAAGGGCTGGAATGGCACCTACATCATGAGGAGGAGGTGCTGGTGAGCACAGCGCCATATGCCCCGCGGGCCTAACCTGTAGCCTTAGCATGCCGAATGGGGGGACAGTGAGGTGCTTCGTGATACGGTCTGAGTGTGCCAGCCTAGAACAAATGGGCCTTGCAGGCTGAGGATGGCAGAGAGGCAGGAAGTCCATCTTTTTAGGGCTGGGTCATCATGATACGAGTGGGAAGAACAGCTGCACTTGCCTTCGGCTCCAACATATTGGGCATGGACACTCCTCGGTCCATCCTCATGGCAGGCATGTGGCCATCCGGGAGGGTCTGCAACAGAAATACCAGCTCAGGGGCCAGAATAAAACAGCAGGGATCCCAAGAGAGGGCTCTGTGGGCTCCCAAACATCCCCTTAGTGTCTTACTCTTCACCACCATTTTCTTGACCTGTCATGTTCATTACCACGAACCTTTTTCCAGAATGAGATCTTTATTACAGGAACAGGCTCTTTTGTAAAGATTCTGGCTTAATAACTGTGGCTTAAATTCTTGGATTTGGGATCTATGTCTGAGAACACACAGTAGGTGAAAGACTGTTGGGCCCATTAGCATTTTACTTTTAGTTTCTATGTATTTTTCTCCTCATTTTCCATCAGTTTTATAAGATTCTAACTGCAAAGCTGGAGGTGTAGCTCAGTGGTGGAGCACTGGCCAGTAGGTGTGAGGCCTTGTTTCATCCCTGGCACACTGTACATACATGTGCTTACACTTACACACACACACACACACACACACACACACACACACACACAAATTTATACACGCCACTGTTCCTTCCTATTGGCTAAGATCTTTTTTTTTTTTTTTTTACTATTTGCGAACAGGCACAAAAAGAGAGGATAAAAATACTGAAAGATTATTTTTTCTCAATTGAAATGAAAGTTGCCCATGTGCAGACCCATGATGCCGGTCCCCTGCCTCCTCAGAGAGCTCCCCTATACCAGTCAGTCTCCCACACTTGACTTGGCCTGTGCTGTGTCGCCGAGGCTGTGGCCCAGCTTGGTGCAGGCACCAGGCATGCCTGCTCTGCACAGGATGGGGCTAGGACTAAAGACAGCAACAATACATGTCTTCTCAGCAGAAACTCTTCTGCAGCAAGCAGCCTGGACGGGCATATGGCGGTTGTGCTGGTGTAGCCAACTCCAGAAAGATAAAGAATTCATACCTGGTAGTCTAGAAAGCAAAGGAAAAGAAAATATAAGGACGGAAAACACGGAACCATTAGCAGAGCCTACCTTCCATGAGCACAATTCCCAAGATGTCCCCAGTGTCACTGACACTGCACCACCAGCCTCCCTGGAGCCGGGAAACCCTGCACTAGCTTGGGTGTGTTACACACCCAATGCTCGCTCTCCTTGCCATACAAGCCAATCAACAATAAGGTGACTATTAAAAAAGTTAGGAGAGGTTGTTTTGTTTTTGTGGTACCAGGGATTGAACTCAGGACCTTGCGCTTGCCAGGCAAGCGCTTATTCTACTGAGCTATCTCCCCGGCCTGGAGAGGTTGTTTTGAAACAGGGTATTTTTTTAATAATGTGTTTGGTACAGGGTCTCACTACACAGCTCAGACTCATAGTGATCTTGTTTTCAGCCTCCCCAGTGCTGGGATTACAAGCGTGCACCGTCACACCCAGTCTTGGTGGCCAGCTCAGCGCACTAGGGATCGAACCCTGGTCTGGTCCCTCCACTTGCCTAACAGGTGCTTAGCCCATTGAGCTCTCTCTCCGGTCCCTGAAACAGGTTCCTAATATGTAGTTTGGGCTGGCCTTGAACTCATCATGTAGGTCAGGCTGGCCTTGAACTTGTGGTGATCCTCTTGCCTCAGCCTAAGGCAAGGCTAGGAATACAGGTATGTGGTACCATGCCAAACTAATGTATTTGAAAAAAAAAAACAAACAAAAAAACCCTCACTCTGGTAAAAGACACATTGCCAAGAGTGACAGGATAAGTGTATCTGAAGCAAGGACAGTATTTTGAGGGGGATTAATTACAATGCATCTTTTACTGTAAAAAATTATTTTTTAATGTAAAAATGTGCTATGTGTTTTGGCCACGCTGCACTGATCAGCTGTTTATAACAATTTCCATCAAAGAAAAAAGTGACGGCATGTCCTTGATCCATCTTCTTCACCAGACCTGGAGCCATGTGACCTCGCGCTCTTCCCCAAGGTCAAAACTCCCCACGGTACACAAAGCCTTTATGTGCTGCGAACATGTACTAGCAAAAGCAAAATTTAAAAATTACCAGGAGAGTAGATGTTTAGAGTCTATTCAGGACATGGGAGCAGACACAGGATGCACCTAAAGGTGCTCAGGGGAGAGGGCTTCCAGAACTGCTTTAGAGGGTGACAAGAAGCACATGCGAGGTGTTTGATGCAAGGGAATAATCTGAGGAGGCTTCATGCTGATGTGTCTTTTGTTGTAATAAGTTTTCTTTAAAACATTTAAACATTCCACATATAGTTTATTTTTTTATTTTTGTTTTTATGTATTTGGTTGTTACAGGGTCTCACTATGCAGCTCAGACTCATGGTGATCCTTCTGCTTTCAGCCTCCCCAGCACTGGGATTACAGGTGTGTGCCACTACACCCAGACTTGGTGGCCAGCTCAGCCCACCCTGGGGGCAGGGCTGGCTTGGCATGTGGTGCCACATGCTGGGAACTGAACCCGGTCCCTACACTTGCCTAAGCAGGCACTTCAGTCCGCTGAGCTACCTCACCGGCCCCTCCATGGATAGTTTGATCGCAACCTCTCATGAATGCTGAGGGCAGAGGTGGAGGTGGGCTTACTGCTGCGCCTGTAGGCATCTACCAGAGCGCAACACACAGGAGGAGCGGTGGGTGGAGGCTGCTCAGGGCCTCGCTCCATGAGAGACCAGCGATGCTCTACCAGCTCACAGAAGCTGCAGGTTGCAGCACAGCGTGGAGCAGGCCATGTGCGTGTGCTGACTCAGCCGCTCTTGAGCCATAGGCTCGGGGGAGGGGACACCACGGCCCAGCTCTGGAGCCTTACCTCGCACTCCCCCGCTGACATCCCCGTAGCTGTTATACTGAGCAAAGTCGGTGGAGACGGGCTGAAATGAAGAAAAGCGTGTTCTTACCAAATCATCACAGCCATCATTTGGGGGTCAGCTGACAATGAGAAATGGATGTGGCAAAACCCTAAGAACTCTTCCCAGATGAAATTCCCAGATCTTCATATTTTTCTTCCTGGTTTTTCTATAACTACGAAGTCTGTCCTTTGTAGTACATCTATTACCTGTAGGCTCTTGGTAAGCAACTATCTCACATTCATAAAAATACATTTTCTAGGAGCTACATACTTATATTTGTTACATACCTTGATAAGAGAACAACTGCAATAAACATTATTTTTAAATAGATACAATGAATCCAATAATTACTGTTTTTGCTTCACTGCACAATTATTTGCCAAATATTGCTGAATCTAGTCTTCTGTTAAGCTAACATATGCCATTTATTTATTTAAAGCTAACAAAGTCTTCTTCTCAGACCTAGAATAGGAAAGGCAACCTTGAGCAACAAAGGCAAGGCAGGAAGCATAATCCCTGACCTGAAATTATAATCCCTGACCTGTGATAAAATCAGCACAGTACTAGCAAAAAGCAGACCGAAGGATCAATGGAACAGACTGGAAGACGCAGACACAACTACAAACATACTCAGCCACTTTGATAAAGGGGCTAAACATGTTCACTGGAAGAAAGATAGCCTCTTTAATAAGCAGTACTGGAAAAAGTAGTTTTAAAAGATTAAAACTAGACACATGTCTGTCACCATGCCCTAAGTCAACATGGGTTAAACACCTAAATATTTAAGACAGAAACACTGAATCTACTGGAAGAGAAAGTAGATGGACATCTCGAAGACTCAAGTGTAGGTAGAGATGTAATGAACAAAATCTAGATTAAGTGGGAAATACTACAAAGAATCAACAAATGACATCTAATCGTATTAAAAAGCTTTTGCACATCAAAAGAAATCACCAACAGAGTGGAAGGAAAACTACAAATGAGGAAAAAAAATTTTATGCAACTATCACTCAAACAAAGGACTTCTATCTAAAATAAAGAATTAAAAAAATCAGATCCCCAAACTTCAAAGACCCAGTTAAAAAATGGGCATCTGCAATGAGTATACACTTCTCAGATGAAGAAATACAAATAGCAAATAAATATACAGAACAACATTCAACATCATTGGTCATCTAAGAAATGCAAATGAAAACAACAGGGACAGTCCATTTCATCTCAGGAAAAATGGCTGCCATCAAAAAAACTGATCAATAACAAATGCTGGTGAGGCTGTGGAGAAAAAGGAACCATCTGCACTGTTGATGGGAGTGTAGACTGGTGCAGCCACTACGGGAGTCAGTGTGGAGACTCCCCAACAAAATTGGGTTAGAGGTCCCATTTGACTGAGGTAGCCTCCTGTCGGTCATTTTCCCAGAAGAATTAGAAACTTAATATGTGTGCAATGATGCTTATACCAAGTACAATTTGTAGTAGGTAAATCCTGGAAATAACCCAAAAGCCCATCAACCAAGGAATGGATAAAAATGATGTGCTATTTTTATACAATGGAGTATTACTTAGCTATAAAGAAAGATAAAGTTGAGGCTTTTAGAGGTAAACGGATGCAAGTAGAGACCATACTCGTAAGTGAAATAAATCAGACTCCCATGTGTAAACATGGTATTGTCTCTCTGGTGAAAGAAAATGAAGGAGTAACTAAAATCCAAAAGGTATAACAGGTATAGTGAAAGGGAAAGAAACTGCTCAAGAGGGAAAGAATAGCTGAGATGGGGAAAGAAGAGAAAATGGAAGGAATGCACACACACACCCACACACCCACACACACCCACACAAAGATAGCTGAGATAATTGTACTAGTAGTTTCTATTAGTTTGTTGAAAGGAGCAGTTAGTGCCTACATTGCTCGATCCGTCTTACATATCTGTATCTGCTCATTAGAGCCTACTTTGAAGATAACAAAAGGCAATATAACAACCGGTGTTAATTTCCTATCAACTTGTTTTGAAATTTTGTATCATTTTATTGTTTTTTATATTTGCTTTAAAAAACAACAACAAAGTATTCTCAGTAGATATATTTTACTTTGGTTGTAACTCAAAGTGTTTTACTAGATGATCAGAGCAGCTACAATTTTCCTTATATGCCCACCCTGAGATCAACAGGCCTGCGCGTTCAGGCAGCGTGGCAGTGCTCTGAGCAGGACTGAGGGAGGAGCACTGCAGGAACAGCCGACAGGTAGTGCCCGCCTGGCAAGTGTGAGGGTGGGAGTTTAATTCCCGTTACCCTGCACCCCCCCCCACACACAAAAAGAAAGCAAAAGAAATAATCAACAGAGAAGAACTCTTACCCGGTGAAGTCCGTTTCTTCCATAGCCAGGGAGAGATGAAGTTTTTGATGATGGAATAGGTGAAGCTGAAGGAAGAAAAGTTTTTTTTTAAAGGAATTTTCAGGAAACTCGAAGTCTGCTGCTTTCACGAGACAGGAAGCATCTCTGCCTCCTCTGCAGAAGAGATTTAGCAAAAACCATTCAGGTCACGTTGGTCTCAGCTATTCACAGATGCCACCACCATATTTGGGAGACAGAGGGAATGATGCTAACAGTGACTTTGCTGAGACCTGGAACAGGGAGAGAAGGACATGCAGCACAGCTGGGACTCTGGTAGCTGTGCTTCTATGATCTCAGCGTGTGTCTAAGCAGCTGGACGCTTTATCGCTTTGCATTCTCAACCCAAACCCTAAGCACACGAGTATTACTATTCCCATTTGGTTGGGCACTTCACTAATTCCCACATCTTCTTCTGTAGCAATTCTAAACAGCTGCGCAAGGATGTGGATGGAGGCACATGTGAACACATAAGCCCCACCCCTGATGAGACGGCAGCGATGAGTGTTGCACCTGGAGGTCACTATGTAAGTCATCACCACAGTGGGCTCCAGGGGCCTGTTCTAGGGCGTCCCATGTGGAGGGTGTAGGACTCTGATAGCTTGTTGTGCTTAGCAGACCTGAGCTTCAATTCCGGTTCTGCAACTTAGTACCCCACATCTTTAGTCTTTTCGAAGCCTTTAGTCTCTCAGAATCAGAGGAGCTCTGGAGATCCATAAACCCCTGTAAGTGGTCCTGCTTCTGGTGCCACGGCCCAGCGGGCTCTCAGCTGGGGCGAGGCCACGCTCCTCTCACCTGAGTGAATGGGAGAGTCATAGCGACTGGCGGCCAAGGCTGCTCTTTCCCGGCTCTCCTTTTCCATTTCTTCCTTCAATATCAGCTGCCCGAGTCCTGAGTTAAGCTAGTCATAAAAAAAAGGGGGAAAACCAAACAAACAAGAAAAATGAAAGCAAAGCTTGTAGCCACTTTCACACAGCACAACTATGGGTTGCTTAGCTGGTCTCATAGGAAGTTTCTAGGCCTGAGACCGGAACACAGGTAGGCTGAGCATGTAGTCAGGTTCTGGGCCCCACGCTGCTCCTAGTTTTCGCTGTCAAAGCTCCTTTCCCCTGCATCAGCCTCCCTATCAGAGGGATGTTTTCTCTTTTTTTCTCCCTCCCCAGAATTCCTAGCAGGAGACCTCAGTGGGCATGTGCACATGCGCATGGACTTGTACTGTGGGAAGAGGAGACCGAGAATAGCCCCCTTAAGCAATCACACCAATTTTAAAATGAAGCAAAACAACAGCACCAGCAGCAGTAACAAAAAGGAATGTACGCTCCCTGCGCATATTTTACAAAATCCAGCAAAAGAGCAACCCATAGTCTACTACTCAGAGATAACACCATTTGCATTGTGACTTGTATCCATCGAATTTCTTATGTGCATTTTATGCAACACCGGTGTGGTGCTCCGTGTCTTTCTTCCCAAGTAATGAATGCCATGTGCATCTCTAATCTTTGGAAAGCACCCTTCCAGGCTCATCGGCCCTTACTGATAGGAAGAGTTTATAGATGGCTATCCTCCTGGAATGCTGCAGGCCCTGGAGAAAGGCAGCAGGACATGGTGGGGGTATCTTGGTGGCAGTCCCCTCAATCCTTTTTCTTCTGGCCCAGACATGCACGCATATCCCTCTGAGTGCCAAAGACAGACCATCCCAAGGGAATTCCTCTAGCGGGGCACCACCCTGCTCTGCCTGGCGCACGCACCCCTCACACCCACACTCTCCTTGCCATGTGCCTTTGATCTCCAGCCAGTGCATCTCCCTTATCCTCCTAAGCAAATGCCGGTCATGTCTCACCTGCCAACCCCCAAGCTCCTTGTGAGCTGGGACCCCCTCCTTCCCATTTGGCAGCTTGTATGTATCTTTTTTTTTTAATTTTATTTATTTATTTATTTGTGTGTGTGTGTGTGTGTGTGTGTGGCCAGCTCAGCCCACCAGGGGGCGGGGCTGGCATGTGGTGCTGGGGGATTGAACCGCGGTCCCTGTGCTTTGCTAAACTTGTTCTAAGTAGGTGCTTTAGACCACTGAGCCATCTCACCAGCCCCTGTATGTATCTTTTGGATCTAGAACTGAAGACAGCACTGAGGTGGTTTAAGGACAAACCTTCATCAGCTGTTCTTCCTGAAGCTGTCGGCGTCTCAGAAGCTCTTCCTCATCTTCCTCTCTGCCACTCGATCTGCGTCTCATGTCAGTTCCTAGTTCCACAGCAAAGACAACTTCACACATCAGGTCTGTGACGGGGAAGCCTCACTGTCTAGTCCACCAGCCCATACTGGTTAGGCTGGCAAGGTCAGAGAGGCCTTCAACGTATTGAAGTGAATGATTTAAGGGTGATCCTCCACCCCCGAAATCAGCATCAAGGCTGGTTTCTCATGGAAATGGGCCCCTCTATCAAGCTATATTCTTGACTGTGAATACAAACCAAGGGTGAACTTGGGCCTCCCAACAAGCGGCTGTTTAATCAAAGCCATGTAAAGCATCAGTAACCACTCGTAGCTCATGGTGGTAATAGGGTGTGGGGGAGAGAGCTCTAGCCAATGCTGGATGTCCCAGAGGTCAAATATAGGATGATCCAAATTTCTCTCCATACCAACAAATTGGTAATAGTCACTCTATCTGGCCAGTTTTAGAATCTTGCAGTTTCCTCTGAGACTATCACTCTGTCTATTCTTAGTGAATTCATTAAAAAGCACACTTGTTACGTTTCTTTCAAATGATAGCTTTCTAATTTCCTGTAGCTCATACTTTGAGAAACGTTCTAAGGAGCTTTATATAAAGTGTTAACATAACTACAGTTTCTTTGGAACATGAGAGCAAACTTCATACAATTTTAAGCTTCCTAGGGAAAGGGAGATATGGAATGGGAAGGAGGAATCTGTCTGAACGGCTGGAAGATTACGATAATTTTTGCTTTTCCTAAATTGCTTGGACTAATCTGGCTGGATTTCCTGAGAGGAAACAGGAAAGTTTGCTGATAGAATCAAAATAAACTTTAACAGTCTTAGTTTTCATCACTTTAATTAATGGACCAGATATTTTCCTCAGTTTGGAACCCAAAGAAACTTTAATCTACTTAGTGATGGTAAGTTTAACAATAAAAAATTAGGGGCTGGGGAGATGGCTCAGTGGAATAGATGCTTCCCTGGCAAGAGCAAGGGCCTGAGTTCAATCCCCGGTTCCACCAAAAAATAAAAAAAATAATAAAAAATTAATTTCCCTCTCCCTTGATGGGGACTTCCCCCAAAGCATAGCTGCTTAATGAGCAACGTAACTGAACTAGAAAATTCAAGGGCCTCACACACCTAAAGGGCACAGATTGGCAGATTCTTAGTTCTTATAATGACATATGTGAAAATACGAATTTTCTTTCTCTACACAAATAATGAGTAGATTCAAGTTTGCATGAATTGCGTAAATCTCGTCAACATGATTATGGAATGCTTAGTACTAACGAACTAAGTAAATTATCCTTCAACCATTTCTATAAATATTGTTTTAAAATCCACTTATATTGCCTCCAAGTTATTCCAAAAATAACGTGATAAAAATTAGCCTGATTCATACGATCAGAAATTTTTGGGAAATTAAAGGCCTTTTAGGTATCAAATGATACGTGAAAATACTTTTTTGGGAAGGCTGATTCACCAAAGTTTCAGTAGAGCGCTAGCCTTGGTGCTTACCAATACCTTTTTTTAGGCTGAGTAATTTCACTGCTGACAAAACAGTAAAGACACAGATGCAATTGGAAGACACAAAGCAAAGAATAAGACAGCTCCAGGGTGACACTTGCACGGGGTTCATGGAAATGACAGATGTAAAATCACTTAACTTCACCCAAGTAATATTTCATGACATGTACTATTCACAAGAGCCCTCTTAGTACTGGAGAATGTGATTTTTGCAAGAATGTGCAAGTGCTGTGGTGTTAATACCGCTTGTTAAGAGGATGGTGGCTATAACCCAGAAGCAGTCGAAAACAAACCTAACCGAAGGAAGTTCCACTTCAGTGGACACTTGGTAAATTCAGCCACTGCCCTCGAATGAACAGTGTTCTTGCCACAAGGCTTGGGCTGAGTTGCGTTCATAAGAGTTACTGATTTCACTGTGGTAACTGCAGGAGTCCATGCATACCACCAGTTGTCGACCAGTCCTGATCTTGGTGGATTTGGTTAGAATCAGGCTCTGGTAGATGTGCTTTTGTAACCTGGACACATCTTCTGCACACAATAGTACCACATTAGTTCTTGCTGTCCTACCTCTTGGTCATCTGTTCTTAGGAGCCATTACAATAGAATGCATTTTCCCACCTGCTTCTAAACATTTCATTTGGAGCCGCCCTAGCCACTCACGCTTGACTTAGCTGCATCAGGTGCGTACCTACGGCGGCCAGGGAGGGGGGACCGGGCCAGTGGTCTGTTTCAATCTTTGGTATCTCGCTGGGATCTGGCGCCTGGGCTGCTGGGAACTTGGAAAACTTGATGATGTCTTCTGAGGACTTGCTCTGGGCTGCCGAGGCAGCTGCATCTAGGTGGGAACCAGGGCTGCTTAGCTATCGGTGTGTGAGGCAGTGGTGGTACAAGCCCGCAGATGTCGCATTCTCATTCCCTGCAAAAGCTGCAGCTCTACACAGCCCTGTGGGTCCCCACCAGCCACTGCCCCACTACTTCTTGGTGTGGACACGTCAACTCGCTTTCCTTATTTTAGGTCAGAAACAAAGCCTCACTCTACATCTGAAAGAGACTTGTTCTAAAGCTCCACATGTCTATCTAAATCTAAATGAATGAAGTTAAATAAAACCAAAAATTGATCAACTCAGAATTCAATCCCTGGTTGCACTAACTGTATTTCAAGTGCTCGACAGTCATGTGATCAGTGGCTACTATTCTGAATATCTGCACAGAGATGGGTCATTTCTATAATCATAGGAAGGGCCATTCCTAATTATGCTCCAAGATATACTTGGAATTCAAGAATTTGAAAACTTAAAAATTTGAATTAAAAATTAGAAATTAAATAATTAATTAAAAGCATACAATGTCATTGGCCTGTAGTTATGAATCCTTTAGAAAGGCACCAGACTTTGAATCTGTGGAGCATAAGCCATGAATACATTGACCCAGTTCATTTTAATCCTTACATACACCTTCGTCTGTGTATAAGCCCTGGTGTTTTAGGAGAAATGGAAATGAGGACTCCTACTTTCAGCTTGCAGACTGTTAGCTATATATATATATATATATATATATATATATATATTTTATCATCCTCACTCACTGCTTTGATCCAGCATCTATGTGCTCAAACAAGGCAACCAGTTATAAAATAACAAAAGCCAACCTAGCAACATTAGTTCACAAATTTCTTCATGGCTGACAGGCAGCATCACTGGTTTACAGCCTTAAATAGTTAGTAATGGGGAAAACAGACCAGGTTTAATGGTCAGGCTCTGATGCTGGCTATTTACAAACTGGTTTGGAATGTCACTAATATTTACATGTAAATATTAATTGATGCTTCAGCTCCAATTTTCCCATTTTCTAGTAACCTTCTGGGTCTCGATTTGCTTACTTAACTTGACCAAGGAGGCCCAATGATAAGGGGGAAAAGCTTGGCTGGGTGGGGGTCAGTGTTTCTCAGGAGGAAAACAATCTCACTTTAGGAAATACAGAAAGTAATGCCCTTGCCAGAGAAGGACAAAATATGTCAACAGAGGACAGACTAAAGTCTAAAGTACAAAAGAGTGACTTAATTTAAATTTTGCATTTCGCAAACCCATGAAGGCAGATACCAGTTCAAGACGTGGCATCTCCGGGGTGGGCGGGCAGTCCTGCATTGGTTACAGGCTGCTGCTTTGGCTGTGCTCCTATTAATTAATGACAACAACCGAAGCACTTCAGGCAAAGTCTCATGGAAAGAAGCCAGTGAATTCCTCCCAAGTAACATGTCACATTATCCAGTATCCTTAAATCGTAATTATTTTCTTATTTTTCTTCTGAGTAATGGGGGCCTATTTTAATATTTTTTTAAAATCTCTAAATCAAACTCTGGGAAACTTATTTATAAAAAAAACAAAAGCATGGCTTCAAATAGTACTTACGGATTAGAATTGGTGAAGTCAGTAGTTAAACATTCACATGTTAATGAGTGTGTGGGAAGACATTAAGCCATAAAAAACAAAAACAAAAACAAAAGCAATGTTAAACTTAAAATGCAAGCAGGTGATGTAAAACTTTGAAAAATAATGAAAAAACTCACATGGCTTTAGAATCATTACAATGCACACTTTCTTGTATCCTCCCTATGTCTTCCCTCAATATTCTTTCATTCTATTTCCAACTTTATTCACTTCTTGCAGCATGCTAAGCCTGAATGACTTGTTCTAGAGGCAGCCTTCAAATTTCCAGGCATGGTTTGTGTATAGTTTTTGGGAATCACTATCTCGTCACAAAGATTATGGCAGGCAATTTCCGAGGGACCTCAAATGGTGGAGGAAAATGTGGCTTATATAAATGAACATGATTTATTGTATTTAAAACAGCTGTGCATTCCCAGAATAGGAAAACATAATTATAAATCCAATTTACTGTTTCTTAGTTTATATTCAAGGGATATCAGACAATCCCATCTAACTCACCGGTCCTTAAGAGGGGACAAAGTGGAAACACGGAGGAATTATGATCCTGACAACAGAGCTATAGAGGTAGGAAAAAGCATCTGGGCATCTAAGCTGGTGTCCCGTCTACCCCATGTTGCAGACCCCAGCATGTCTTGTAAGCATGTGGGATAAAAGCCTGTGTAGTCTTACTCAAAGTCAAACTATTTTTTTGTAGATGGCTTATTTTCTCTAGGCTAATAGTCAAGCTATTTGCAAACTCATCATGTTTCAGAGGGTGGTTAAATTATTTGATGGAAAACAAAAAGAAAAACATGTCTTGTTAGGACACCTACGGGCTGTTGGCTGACCAATACTTCCCCTTCTCTATGAATGGGATGATACGTGGTTTGATGGGTTCAGAAATGGCCTGGACACTTTTAACCGAGCTTAGGGTTCCCCATCAAGGAAGGTTACTATTCAGATTTTACTGGACCATAAGGGGAATATATATTGGATGCTCCAGTGTGGTTTTCAAAAACAGCAGTAGAAAAGCTCTCAGAAAACATCAAAGAAGAGCCCAGCTGACTCCGCTACTGAAAAGCTATGCAGAGGAAAGCGAGTTTTACCATGCTGTTTGTAGATGGGTGGTTTTCGGTAAATGTTGATCCCTTGATCTGTGGAAATGAAAAGCAAAGGCATGTGATTACGGGCACCAGCTCTGCAATGAGAACCAACTAACCAACCAACTAACTAACCAACCAACCAACCAACCAACCAACCAACCAACCAACCAACCAAGTCGCACAACACACAGAAGACTCTTGGACGAAAACAACCCCAAAGACTAACTTCTGTATTACAAAGATTGCATTTGTTGGCAGAAGAGGTTACGAAAATGAGTTACTATAGACACAGGACATGGAAGGCTTTGTAATACATTTTAGCGTACAGAGAGATGTAACTTATAAGCCATTGATTTCAAATACACACTTCACTGAAAGTGGGATTAAAACAGGAAAAAATGCAAGCAGTGGAGGCACTCAAGTGGTCAGGAAGACATAACCAGTTTGGAGGAAAATCCTCAAACTGTTACTGTCTAGAAATTGAGCTCCCAATAGAGACCAGCAGCTCAATTTACCCTCTTAGTTAATGAGAACAGTGGAAAGCAATGTAGAAAATAATTTTAAAAACCTATTTTTTCAAATCATAGAAATATATTCTATGTGCAAGGCTAATCCAGTGTGCTGTTAGATGCTCATACAAAACCTCTATTTGTATAGGCTAATTTTTTTTTTTTAAAAAAAGGAGGAAAGAAAAAAGCAGAAAAGTGGTACTAAATACTGTTCTTGTATCTACAGAGAGAACCTCACTGACTCATGCTACTGTTTCACTTGAACTGCAGACACTCAAGGGACTTTAAAAGGTTTCTGGTTTGGTAGAAACATTCTTCCCATGAAAAATCCCAAATGTAGAACAATCATTTTAAGATTCAAACTTTTAAAAAAGGTAGTCCTAGCTTAGTGGTACCAATCTCATTAAATTTTCCTCTCTTTTATTACGTTAAGTTTACACTGCAAAAGAAAAATAAAACTACTAGTACAGATTCCAAATATGTATACTTACATGAATGTGGTGGGCAATTTATTAAACCACTTTCAACAGGTAAAAGAAACAAAGCTGTACTTCCAATGGAAAAATAGTATCATGACAGCTGATGGTGGATCCCACCCTTCCTGGCCGAGCCAACCCTAAGTGGTAAGATATTGGTATGTCTGTCTTTTCCAGTGTCTGATGGCAATTTACTGTTTCTGCTGTGACAGCCAGTGCTGGTGATGACCGGAGCAAAGCCTGCAGCAGTGCCAAGCCTAAATTGCAAGATGTCTGTGTGGGTCATGGAGGTAGCTGGTCAGCTGCAAACTGCAGAAAGACCATCCCATTTTGACCCAGTGCTATGCCTGTTTCCAAAGAAAAATCCATGGGAAAAACATGTCCGCACTAGAGACAAACAGGATATACAAATGCCGTGGCACTGTGGCTCAATCTTTAGGATGTGAAGTTACTAAATTACCACGGCGAGAGCTAAGGATCTTGAACCACAGAGTAACATCTTAGATGATACTCAAATAAATTTTAAAATTTAGCCAAAAATCAAGACACAAACTAAAAAAGAGAAAAAACTCTAAACCAAACAACCTAACTCCTCTCTTTTACCCCCTGTCTCCCAGCCTCTTAAAAAAAATTGAGGCCCGGGGGGTACAGCACAGTGGTAGGACCTCTGCCTCGTGTACATGAAACCCTCGGCTTGATCCCCAACACAGCAAAGACAAAGTAAGAGAAATGAGAAGACTTCCCATGTGATCCTGGTCCTGCACATACAGAACTTCTGAAAGCCCCTCTGAGTTAGATCCTGCAATTTAGGATTTGTCAGCTCTGTGCATCCCAAGGAACAAGCATGAGAAATGGAGACAGACGAAGCGACAAGGCTATACATTCTACACGGTGACAGGACACTGAGACAACAGGTCAGCGCCTACCTGGAACATGGAAATGTTTAGGGGCCTGAGCGTAAGTTGGAGTTAGAGGGCGGCTGTCGGGCCGGTAAGGGAGAGGGGAGTTCCGGCCGCTGGACGGCTCGTTGCCTCCGATAAGAATGGAGAAAACAAAATGAGACAAGGGAGAGCAGTAAACAAAACCAAGCAAGCATAACCAAAATTCAACACAACCAATGGAAGGGGTACATCAGAGAGGAGAAACAAGGGCGCAGACTCCATTTATCAGCATGGCTTGCAAAGGTGGGATCAGGGTTAGTGTTCCAAAGGGGAGACTGAAGTCCACGTGGACCGGAGCCCAAAGCAGCTAGCGTCAGATGCGTCATTCCAATGGCATGCGGTGGAAGCCTGTGAGCTGGTGGCAAACAGGTTAGGTGCAAGTCCCCTGGGAAGGATGGAGAGTCGCTTGCCACTAATTCAGGAGCAGCTGTCAGATGATTAACCCCAAGCATGGAAAGGGATGAGATATGCAACTCCCCACCCTTCAGAGGTCCGTGGGCTTCCACCCAGAGACAGGACATCAGAGTTGCATTTCTCTCATGAGGCCCCGAGGTCACCCAGTCCTTTCCCTTAGGAATACAAAGCACCTTCACTGCAGCGCTTTGTAAGTTTCCATTTTCCTCATTTTGAAATACACAAAACAGCATGGGATGCTTTTCTGTCAGTTACTGGGGGACCACTTACAGCTTTCTCCACCCTCTCCTCCAAGGATGCTGCTCTACCAGCGCTATTAATTTTATCACCAATAAATTCCCCGAACACCCCTTCTGGCTGGGCGCTGGCTACTATGGAGGACAAAATAGGGGACTGAGACATAATCCTCACCCTGCAAAGCCTCAGCATCTACCTACTGAGGCAGACTGCATGAGCACGTGTGTGTGCGCATGGGCGGGGACACACGCACACACCCTGTGACTAATTGTGCAAAGGTGTAAGGAAAATGCTAGGAAAGGAAATCCAGGGAAGAAAGCTCTCGGGGCCAGGCACCTACAGGAAGCTCCCCAGAGCATAGGACAGCCCACATTCTGGAAGCGAGGACAGTGGGGCAGGGCCACTGCAAGGGGCTCAGGGCTGGCACTGTGGCTGGACAGAACTGTGCTCCTGAAGGAGAAGCTAGGGATGCAGCTGCACGGCCTCAAGGCCACCAGGGCCACCAGAGCCACCATCAGCCCTGTAACGTCAGGGAGAACTGCAGAGGTGAACGGAAGCTTATGCCAACCGGACAGGGATTAGGAACTGCTCTAATTGGCTCCTGTACCACACATCTGGGCAAATATCCTGCCTCAAGAACACATCAGAAGACATAGAACTATTAAAAGTTAATGAGTTATAATGCAAATTATTTTGAAGTTGTGACAGGTCTTTATATACCCTGATACACGTCTTATCAGACATCATTTGCAATTTTTTCCATTCTATAGGTTTTCTTTTCACTTTCTTGATGGTATTCCTTGAAGCACAAAAGTTTCTAATTTCAGTAAAGTCCAATTGATTTATCATTTATCATTAAAATCCTAAACATTTTATGTAAATGATAGCTCATTAGCAGAGACCTCTAGCCCATTTCAAGTTGAATTTTCCTTTGACCAGAGAATTATGAAAGAATTGCTAGAGTACTAAAATATGCCAAATAGCCAGGCACAGTAATCCCAGCACTTGGGGAGGCTGATGCAGGAGGACTGCTGTGCGTTGAAGGCCACAAGTCTGGGCTACAATGTGAGTTCAAGGTCAAACTAAACTACATAGTGAGACCCTGTCTGAAAAAAAAAATATATGCTGAATAGTTTTAGCTTCTCAATATGTATGTGTTTAGGTGACCAGAGACTAGATCTGGACCAAATCTGGACCAAGAATCTAGACATGCGATGCCAACTTGTTACTAGCTCTTCAGTTTAGCTCGTAGGTTCTGGGTGGTGTTCTGAGGTCTATCTCTTCTCCTCAAGAATCTCTAGCATCCAGCTCCCAGAAATACATTTAAATGTTGACTTTACCAGTTAAGCCAAATATTAGCTTCCAAAAATTATGGAGCTGGGGAGACAGTTCAGCTGTCTAAGTGACTACCTGGGAAGCCCAAGGTCCTGAGTTTGATTACTGATACTGTATGCCACACAGGCCCCAGAACCCTGGGTACACAGTGCTGACCCTGAAACTGGGTGTGGTGGTGCACAAAGCACTGGGGAGGCTGAGACAGGAGGATCACTACAAGTCTAAGCTGCATAGTGAAACCCTGTACCAAACATATATACAACGAAGCATCCCAAAGTACTCATCTATTAACAAGCCTAACTGACAGCTGGGCATGGTCACATGTGACTGCAGCCCCAGCACTGGAGAGGCTGAAGCAGAAGGCTGGATTCAAGTCCAACCTGGCAACTTGTAGACTTGGCAAGACCCTGTTTCAAAATAAAAAATTAACAAGGTGGGGGTGTGTTGAGGCTACAGTTCACCTTAAAAGTAAAAACTGCTAATGTACGAAAAGGTGATCTCAATCTTATTCTCCCCAAAAGCAGTAACTACACTTCATGCTTGAAAAAAAAAAAAAAAAAAAAAGGGCATACAGAACACTGGGTAGTGGGGAGCAGGAGCAGGAGCAGGAGGGATATGACTTGCACTGAACAGAAAATGCTGTGTTACACCCACAGCTGAATTAGAACAGGGTCCCTTCCCTCTCCTCAGTACTCGGCCTACTGCCTGGCCTCAGTAGTGCTTAATAAAGGCGAGTGAGTAACCGAAGGAGGCCAGCTAATTAATTCCACGGGTACTCATGGCCCAATTCAGCAGGCAGCCCCGCAGGATCGGCCATCATCTCTCTGATCTCTTAATTAACAGAAGCGAGATGCCACGACGGAGCAGCGGGACTGCGGCATCCTAGCCCATCCTTAGTAGCTCTAATTTAATTGTTTCACTTCAGAAGAATCCTTTAATCCTATAAACATTAGAAAATTGTTAACAACAATAATCCATAATTAAAAAGCAAACTTCTTCTCGGGGCTTTTCTTGGGCGGAAGTGCAGAAAATCTTCCCTTTCTTGCTTGATCCTCAGTGGTCTCTTGGAGACTCTTCCTCGTGTCCTGACCACTGGCCACTCTTGCTTCGGAGCCACACTGCCCCTTGCCCTTAATCCTGCACCTCCAGCTGTAGTGACCTTATACCCGCCCGGATGAAACCCCGCTGAACCTGTTCCGCTAACGGTTAACTGCAAAAATCATGCACATGCAAAAATGGCTGCGCGTGGAGGACACAAAGGTTGAAGGCTGTCAGAATTAAGACATGTGTCCAAGGGTTAAAGTATTTCTGCCAATCAGATTCTCTGCTGCAGGTGGCAGCAGAAGCGCAGCACTTTTCCAGTAAGTCCAAAGTCTCTGGAAGGTTCCTGGAGGAGCCGTCAGAATCCCTAGCCTGTGAATTCTGGTTGAATGCTATCACCAGTTGGGTGTCATTCTTTTTTCTAACACCAACACCCCATATTTAAATGATATAACCTTTAACTTCACCCTGGTAGAAAAGCTTGAGCTTTAGCTCATAATCTGGGCAAACTAAAGCATGAAGCATTAGAGGAAATACATTACGAAAGTTATCCATGTTATCATCATTGTCGTAGCTACTCATTAGCTTGGACTAAGATACTTTAAAAAATTAATATACTAGTATGTGGATATATGTGCACACACACATATATTATATAACAGGCACATGTCACTCTTATAGCTGTTGTGTCCCTTAAATCAGTCTCTGGGTTGGGTTGGCCTAAGTTTATAACAAAAGACTCATGCCAATTTTGTATTTCTTGGCCTTCAGGTTTAGCTTCTTCCCTAGTGCCCTCCTTGGATAATTTCTTTAGTCCTTGAGAGATCAATCACATACTGGATTCTCGCTGTAACTATGGACTCAAACGCTTTCCTCGGTTTCATTCTTCTTGGCACCCCGGAGCCCGACAGGCAGAGGTGCCAACCTGGGCGCAAGCTGCTGGAGCACTGTGTGGCTTCCAGGACGCTGTGCTTATCGTCCCAAACACGAAGCTGTCTTTGCAGGGGCCTTAACAATGGCGGTATCTAGAATATTCTGTGACTGAGTTTGAATTACTGGGCCTTCAGCAATCACAAGGTCTAGAATTTCAAGAAGAGGTTTAAACATTATTTACTCAGTAAATATTGAATTCGTATTTGTAGCACAGTAGCTCATAGCTACAGTACAACAACAACTGTTCCTCTGAAAGAGACTTCATCTAGGTCGTCTTCCACTCCCATATTTCCTCTTCCTGGATACAGGACGTGCCATGAACAAGTTTTTCAAAGGGGAAGGGACAGAAGCTCATCACATGTTGCATAAACACAGTCCAAAACCAAGAGGAAGTATTTGCTGCGAATCTTCCAGCGTAAGTTGTCCTATAGGCTCAACACTAACACACTCATGAAGATTGAGGCTGCAGCGCAGCTTAGAGAAATAAAAACACAAGCCTTGACACAAGGTGGAGTTATAGGAAATGAATGGGGAGGCCAATGAAGCAGAGAGACAGGCTGTGTCATGCGCCTCAGCTTTGCCCCATGCAGGCATCCTCAGCTCGGTGAACCTCCCGGGTCTGGAGTACATGCACAAGAAGCAAGGACCAGGAAGTGTACGTGGGTCACAGAGGCCGGGCTTCCTGCTGCTCACCACCTGAGGTGGCTCCTGAGATGTCACCCTACTGTGAATCAAGATCCCCAGCTCACATCCGTGTACACAAATCACTCCCCTATGGTCCCAAGTCAAGTTCCAAGTACGTGAATGAGTCAAGGCCACAGAAGATCCTGGGTGCTGGGCCCCACTTGAAAAATCACATGTGTGCGAACTCAAAGGGATGTAAAGTTCCTCCATTCTGAAATTTCCAAGTGCTGGAGAGGCCTTCCCTGTAAATGAATACGCTTTCCAAAATAACCAAGAAGCGATCCCTTGGAGAACCAGCATTTATCCATTCAAATAAATTAGATTTTTAAAATAATATCTTTATACAAATTATCTAGGCTATTTTAGGTTAGTAAACAGCTCACCCAGTTAAAAAATAAAAAGCATGTACTATTATGTACTTAACATCTTGTTTTAAAATATATAAA